GGCTGATTTTCTGAAGTAGATCGCCAGGCCTTTCTTCCTAGTCTGTCTTAGTCTGGAAGTTCTGGACAGAAGCACAGTTAGTGACCTTTAATTTATACACATCCTACTGTTCCTATGTTCAGCAGGATGTGGAGGGCTGAAGCCTCTTCTGGCTCTTCGTAAGTTCCTGCTCAAAAGCTTCCCTGATGGCTCGTGATCCGGATGTTCCCTGACACTGCCCTATATGACAATATTTTCCACAGAGTTCTTCATGCGTCTTCATGTGTGGACATTGTAAATAATTCTTCTCGTGAAAAGTTAACTAGCTCCTGAACCATTTCAGCTGGGTAGCCATCTGGGATTCCTCAGAAACAGTGAATTGTCAGCACTGTAAACATTTTAGGCTTCCTGGAGGACACTGACTTTTTCTAAACTAATCACCCCTGCCAGTCAAGATTTTCGGTATGGGTTCAAGAACAAGGCGTTCATTTAACAACAATAACAAAAACAGTGAGGATGAAAACCGGACAGTCATCATAATGAAAGGCCTAAAAGCAAACTGTGACTTCCCTAATAAGGCAAAGACCAAAGTTGGCTCCCTGGTGGTCAAGCACCAATACAATTAATCAGTCTGTTTTCAGTTTTCTCACGACAGCAATATTAACAGTTTGTTTTATTCTGTTTATATGGCACTGACAGGTCTTCAGCATGTTGGGCCTACTTGCTGGAGATTAATGGCCACTCTTATACTGAGGTAAAAACCAGGCAGGGAGAGAATGCCTTTTACAACTAGATAAGAACTGGATTCTCTTGGTTTTTTTCTGTTTCCCTATTGCACATCTCTTGTACAACTCTTCCCTCTTTTAATTTCTATTAAGAATTGCAGGATTAGTAGTGCTCAGTGGTTTTACCTCACTGTCTAAACTCTCCCAGTTTAGTTATTATATCCCCAGGTGAAATAAAATCCCCCTAAAAAACAAAACCCACTGCCCTCGAGTTGATTCCAACTCATAGCAACTCTAAAGGACAGGGTAGAACTGCCCCATAGGGTTTCTAAGGCTACGATCTTTATGGAGGCAGACTGCCACATCTTTCTCCCGCGGAGTGGCTGGTGTGTTCGAACAGCTGACCTTTGGGTTAGCAGCTGAGCGCTTTAACCACTGTGCCACAGGGCTCCTTCAGGTGAAACAAAGGGAATCTTAAATTGCATATCGATTTGGGGTAAGTTTATCATCTCTAAAGGCATGTTGGCTAATTTTGTTTTTAAAAGTCAGATTTCATCTAAACGAGAAAGAAGAGTATGAGGTGGCCCTATTCAGCATTATTAGGTGGGCCACAGTTTCCTTTTGTATTTCTAGTTATCTTTGTAGACACAGAAGAAGGTAGAGAGTTAATGTTAAGTATAGCCCAGCTACTGGAAGTATGGATACCCCACACAAAAGCTCTTAGAGATATTTTACTAAATAGTCACATTTCAAAATTAATTGGAAAGATTTGAAATATTACAAGTTCTGAACTTTTCTTCCTCTCCACCCTCCCAAAAATTGTAAGAGTACTGCCTGTTACTGGTATAGTTTTCTTAGCCCCAGGTTAGAGAGAAGTGGTAACCCCAAACATTATTTGAACAGCGTGTAAGTATATGAAATTCTAAATGACAAAAGTATACTGTGCTAACTCATCCATGTGCCTCCTCTACACTTCTGTAGGTATCATCATTTTATTGTTTATTCTTAGGGAACCTCCTGCTCCACCCATTCTATGAAACAACTGCACGGATAAATACGCACTGGTACAGGGTCGGGCAACGTTTCATTAGGTGAAACATAAGGTCACCATAAATTGGAGTCGACTCAACAGCAACGAACAACAACAACATACCCAGGAACTGCAGGCCCTGGCTAGCTTTCCAGCCCACTTCCCCTTGCTCACTCCTCTCCTGACATAGTAGCACAGAAGAGAAAAGACTGATTTCAGTAAAGAGGACATCAGGAGGTGGTTTTAAGTGGAAACCTTTCAACAAAGATTTTAAAAACCAAAGACAAGAACATTCTAGGATAAGAAAGCAGTAATAATAATGGTATTTACTGAGTGCTTACTATGTAAAGGCACTGTTGTTCGCACTTCAGTTGTATGGTGTTATGCTGGGTGCCATCAAGTCGATTCCGACTCCTAGCAACCCTATAGGACAGAGCAGAACTGCTCCATATGATTTCCAAGGCTGTAATCTTTACGAGAGCAGACTGCCACATCTTTCTACCATGGAATGGCTGGTGGGTTCAAACTGCTGACCTTTCAGTTAGCAGCCAAGAGCTTAACCACTGCACCACAAGGGCTCCTTTTGTATAAACCTTCAGCATTGAAAGAAGAGTTAAATAATTATTTGTGCTTGAAGTACAGGAGATTTGAGAGAATGGAACAATATACTGGTCTAGATTTTGGTAGATCCTGAATTCCATACTTACACTTTAATAATTTATCTGATGTAAAGGTTGAACTGGAGAAGGAAGAAACCACAGTTAGAATAATTAGAAAGATACTACAACAGCCCTGAGACTCTGAACTGGGGTGTGTACTGGAAATAAAAAAACAAAAACAAACAAACAAAAAAACAGTAGCTGTTGAATCAACACCGACTCATGGCAACCCCATGTGTATCAGAGTAGAACTGTGCTCCACAGGGTTTTCAATGACTGATTTTTGGAAGTAAATCAACAGGCCTTTCTTCCAAGATGCCTCTGCATGGACGTGAACCTCCAACTTTTTGGTTAGCAGTCGACAGCGTTAATCATATGTACTACCCAGGGATTCTATTGGAAATGAAAAAGAGGGGAAAGAGTTGAGAGTCAGTTCAGGAACAGAACCATCTTAATTTTTTTTTAATGATTTATTTGTTCATTTATATGTTCATTCAACAACTATTTTTGCGGGTTTTGGATGTGTCAGACACTGTGCTAAGTGACTAGTAGGAAAATAAGGAAAAGAAAAAAAAAAAGAATTTGAAGATGACTCTTTCCCCAAAATTGGGCTACTAGCCATTGCTCAGTGGTGTAAAATGACATCCATCCATCTATCCCATCTGCCCTCCCTCCATCTATTCATCCAATACTTATTAAGCATCTACCCTGTCTCAGGCACTGTGCTACATAACGGTCATGAACAAGTCCAGGGAGAAAGAAATAAGGGAAAAGAAAAAAAAAAAAAGACTGCTGCCTTTATTCCTACAGTATTGGTACCTTCTTTCTAAACTTCCTTTTCTTTCCTGGTGGTCCGGCCATAATGCCCAGTACGTGGTGGTAAACCACCAAACTGCTGGAATAGCATAGGTATTCTTAGTCATCCATATGAGAAGAGGACCTTCTATTTAATTTCTAAATGTGTGCCCTGATTTGGCATATTTTAACCAAAGCAAAACATTATACCAGGAAGGTATCTAATATGATTACCAAGGGCAGATTTTAATATCATCTAAAAATATAGGCAAAGAAAAATAAGCTCTGAGCAAAGCCAAAAGGCACTGAAAATAATAGCACAAACACACTCTGAATGTTAACAAAAATTTTGTACCTAGTATAGCTGGTAAATTAGTTTGAGCCATATAATTCTATTGCCTTCCAGGGAAAATCATGATCTTTTTAAAATTAAGATATGCCTAGATGTTATAAGAATAAATCCTGACTACTTTCTGAAAAACAACTAGGTAATAGAATGACTACCACCAAGAAGTATTTTGCTTTATGGCAGCTGCCTTTTCATTATTATTTTATGAGAGCTAGTCTAGATATTATGCATTCTTTACTATCTACATTTGGTTCTTTTTTAAATGTCTTCTTCAGATGCTTGGGGTTATTTCAGTTTCTTTGGATCTAACTGAATCTGAAATTGCAAACTATATCACTTTAATACTTTCCGAAGGTTCTTATGCACTTTGGTTTACCTCCAAAACATTTAGTGTGACTAATCTATACTGCTAGTCATTTCTATTAAAACAAAAAAATTAAAAGGTATTTTTAGGGACTTACGAACACCATCAACAGATTATTTCAAGTATAAGCGAGTTCTCATATGCCAACGGTGGGAATTTAAATGCCAATAAAATCTAATATAAAAGAAAGACTTTGATGAGAACAGGCACATTTTAACTTCAATTTTATTTTGAGGACTTGAGTCTGGTTTGGACTTGTGTGCTCTATGAACTCCAGTTAGTGATGGAAAGAGAGCTTGCGCCAATAGTAACATGAAAGGCAGTTTCCCAGGCTGAGCATTTAAATCCCAGCTCCATGTTCCAACCATCATGTACCAAGTTTGGGTTATTTGTTTCCGTATGGAAAATAAGATCTGAATAACTACCTACCTATTTGCCATGGAAAATGTTTTTCAGTTATGAAATATTTCAAACATGCTTATTTTTACTGATAAGAGATAGGAATTTATACTGGGAAAAGTATCAAATCCTACATAAGTGATCAATAGTCAATCTTTTGATTATCTCAAGTTAGCCTGTGTTGCTGTTGTTGTTGTTGTTAGGTGCCGTCTAGTCTTACTCGGACTCCTAGAGACCCCATAGGATTCCTAGGCTGTCATCCTTATGGAAGCAGATCTTCAGGTCCTTCTCCCCGGGCTTTCTACCACGGAGCCGCTCGCTGGTGGGTTGGAGCAGCCAACCTTTGGGCAACCGAATTCTTAAGATGTGCCACCAGGAATCCTTCAAGTTAGCCTATAGGTAAGCCCATTGAGGGTAGGGACTATATATCCTTCAACGTCCTGGGCACCTGATCCATGAGCTACAGCCTTCAGTTATGCTGAAGTGTTATATTCATTTTGCTCGACTCAACGAAATACAGGAACTCAGACGGAAAAATCAAAGATAGGAGCCAGTGAGGGAGCAGATGGTGGGCGGCGGAGGGGCAGCCACAGAGTTAAGAGCCGGGCCGCATTGGAAAGGCCCTTGGAGATCATCTACCTACCTTCCCAGGGTGGGAAAGAAAAACAAATTGGAGCCGTCTGACATTTGTGACTCTCACCTTCTGCGCAGATCCTCGGCCACTGCCGCCCGACAGCTGAACAAATAGGCCCGTAGTGATTTGAGCTGCTGCCGCAGGCGTACCACGGCGGCCAGCGGCTCGGCGTGCAGGTACAGCATGGGGTTCTCCTGCTGGATGTCGATCAGCGGCTCCTCGTAAACGTACTCCAGAAACTCTTTGGCCTGCTTAGACACCTACAAAACAAGGTTCCTCAATCAGTTCTAGCGAATCACCCAGCTTTGTACACTTGCTCAAAATAGGAACCACAGCTAAATTATCAAAATATTATAATTAGTTTCTGAACACAGCCAAATGAAAAAAAACCATAATTTAACTAAACATAAGATTTGGCTTCTCTTTCTCTTCTACAGAATCTCAACTGGTAAAAGTAACCTTGGCATACAAAGGAATTCATTAATTTTGTACCTTGATTGCGGCAGTGGTGGTGGTGGTTAAGGAATCTACGCATATGATAAAATGACACAGAACCCCAGACCTTCTGGTTAGCAGTGGAGTGCTTTAACCACTGCACCACCAGGGCTCCTTGTAACCAAAAGGTCAGTGGTTCAAACCTACCAGCAGCTCTGTAGGAGAAAGATGTGTAGAGATTTACAGCTTTGGAAACTTTATGGGGCAGTTCTACTCTGTCCTGTAGGATCACTATGAGTTGGAATTGACTGGATGGCTGTGGGATAGCTATATATATACACATATATTCTATAACACTTTAAAACAGTAGCCATTTTTTAAAAATAGGTAAAGCATGCACACATTACAAAATTCAAAAGTAATAAGAGGATATTTTCAAAAACTTTTTCAAAATGAATGATCTCACTGTGTAGAAAATAGTCTCAAACACACTACTTCAGTGACCAGAAAGAAGTTTCTTGTATTAGGACAACTCTGAGCTTGGGCTAACTCTGGCCAATATATTCACCCAACTCTATATCCACTTCTGGGTAGTAAAGGACAAGACTACACAAGTTGATTACAAAAAGTCATTGTCATCAGTAGGAATAAACAGTTCATTGGAAACACAATGCATCAGAGATACAGAAGAAGTAGTTTAAATAATGCCCAACATGCAGCTAATTTTTAAGAGATCTTTACATACCAGTTCACTGACACTGAGATGTGGATTGGCTGATGATACATAGAGAATTGGCTCAGTTTATATTTATAGAAGGTAAAACCTCTCTAAAAAGCTTCTATCAAAACCTCTCCAGTACTGGGAACAAGACTGCAGCTCAACATACAAAAAGTAAAACTTTATTTATTGAAAGGAAAATTGAAAATCCACTGTTTCATGCTCTAGGCTAAAAGCTTATTAATGAAGATAAATAGGACATAGTCCCTACCCTCAAAGGGCTCACTGTTTAGTATGACTGATAAATATTTAAAACAAAAACTGCATATAGCATGTCAGCTGCTACAATAGAGGTATGGATAAGGCCCACTGGTAGCTTAAAGGAGGAAGAAATCAACTCTCCTGTGGGGATGCCAGGGGTCAGGGAAGGCTTCGCAAAGTAGGTAACACTGGATCTGGGTCTAGAAAGATAAATAGAAATTCACTTGGTGGACAAGAATGGGACAGAGGAGAGTACACCATACAGACACAACCACGACAACCCCTCAATATATTCATGTAATACTAAATATAAGGCTATTGTGTGTTGATTAAAAACTTCTAATACACATTTATAGGAGCCCGGGTTGTGCAGTGGTTAAGTGTCTGGCTTAAGAGTTCGGCAGTTCAAATTGACTAGCCACTCCTTGGAAACCCTGTGGGGTAGTTCTACTCTGTCCCATAGAGTTGCTATGAGTTGGAATCAACTAAAGGGAATGGGTTTGGCTTTTGGTTTTGGATACCCATTTATGCAATTCAGTATTTTAATTTTCTTTTATTGTAAAGCCTATACAAAAGTTTATGTTCCTTACAGGGATGCAAACAAATGCATCAGTTTCTTTTTTCTAATAAAAGTCTCTTTTTTTTTTTTCCTTATAAGCAATTATTTTTGAAGTACCTGTTACGTTGTGTGATTCTATGGGGTCCTGCAGAGTTACAAAGAGTTAGAAGTAGAGAAGCTTATAGTCTCTGCAAATCCAGCTCACAAAGAGGCATCTAGAATTAGCCAAAACCTTTGACTATTTAGCCAAGCTGGAAATAACAGTTATTCCAAGCTTACAGGGCTAAATAATCCTCACTCTTATATTTGAAGCATACAGACACAGGTCCATGCCAGACACTGTAGCAGGCACTAGGTGTTCAGTGGAGAATACACAGGCATGGCCCTGTCCTCATGTAGCTCACAGTTCATGGGGAAAAGACAGCATTGGGTTTAAATATTTTATTTATCATGTTTAAATATTTGCTCTATTTAAATAAATCAGGAAAGAAAAAACAGATGGTGTTTTGGGAAATAAAGTACAATCCACTTGAAACTGTTGTTGAAAAATGATGTATTGTACAATTCAATTAGTCTTTCTGGCTCTACTGGGCAGTGTTTATACTGAGTCAGGGCCCCACTGAATCAGGTTAACAATGCTACCTTTTAGTAGGTGAACGGATGGACAAAGGGCACTGGCCAGTCTCCCGGGTCTTAAAAGGCTTCTCTTTTCAGGTGGTACTTAAGCCCAAGAGGGAGTGGGGGGAAGAAAAAGTCTTTTACAGAGACAGTAAAAGCAGAGAGACAAGTGGGACAGCAGCTACAGACATCAGAATTCATAAACAGACGTTACTAAAAACTTTAACAGAGTTAGCTTGTCTAAGGCACTGTCTTCACAAAGCTATTAACTAGTGTTAAGTATATATAGCATGTCGGTACTGCTCCTGCCTGAGTATGTGAACACAGCCCTGCCATTGTGAGCCATTTTCGGCAGCAAGGCTGAGTACATGCTCTAGTTTTTGAGAATCAACCACTTATACTTGTGAGGGAATTTTTGATAGACTCAAAATTTAGCATGAAATGCTATTTTGCAAAATAGAGCAGTGGATCTTCCCTGGTTTCCTAAGTTCTAAATGATTCTCCATACTGATACAGGGCTTCCAACCTGTTCGTTTCCACCCTAGATATACTGAATAATTTTAACAAGATCCTCAGGTGATTCTTCTGTATAACTTCCTAGGAACTTGTTAGAAATGCAAATTCTCAGCAGGAGTTCCAACTGGGAACTAACTGGTTAGAAGCCCTATACTGATATAAGGATTCCACTTTCAAGCTCAATTGAAATTAAAAAGCATTTTTTTTTTAAAAAAAAAGTTAAAAAAAATATGGTAACTTAGGGAAAGGCTCATATAGGGTTGCTATGCGTTGGAATCGACTCAACGGCAATTTTTTTTTTTTTAGGGAAAGAAACCACTGATATTTTTAGGTGATAGAGTTTGTGAAAGAAAATTTCTTTCTTATTAATATAAATATTACATGAATAGTATATGAATACCAAATATAATCCAACTAGAACTACTGTCCTTCCTAGTTAATTGGGGTAATATCATTTTTAGTGCTCTGGTGGCGCAAGGTTAAGTGCTTGGTGGCTAACCAAAAGGTCAGCCGTTCGAACCTACCAGCTGCTCTACAGAGGAAAGATGTGGCAGTCTGCTTCTGTAAAGATTTATAGCCTTGGAAACCCTATAGGGCAGTTAGACCCTGTCCTACAGGGTCACTATGAGTTGGAATCCACTCAAAGGCACACAACAACAACTTTATTATGTGGTCTTAAAAGCTTGCAGGTAGCCATCCAAGGTACAACAATTCACCTGGAGCAACAGGGGAAGAAAGAGAGTCAGGAATAGGAGGAAATGGAATGTGTAGCTAATTGCCTCCTGCCATGAGACCAGAAGATGTGGATGGTGTCTGGCTACTATTACTGAACATTCTGATCAAGATTCTATAGACGAATCCTGATCAAAAGGGGGAATAATGCAGAACAGAATTCAAAATTCTCATGGAATCCAGACTTTCTGGAGCCACTGAAGCTAGATGAACCCCTAAAACTATTGCCCTGAGATAACCTTTAACCATCAACCTTAAACCAAAAATACCCCCTGAAGTCTTCTTTAAACCAAACAATACTTTACCTTAGTAAGTAAAGAATGTCTGTCTTGAGCGTTGTGCTCTTTTAAGGTTCTATGTGGGATCAAACTGACAACAGCAACTTGAAAAGTTAAATAGGAAGCTTAGGGGGCAGTGAGTGTATGTTAATGGGGAAGGTACAATTCAGAAAAGGAGGGTGAGAATGGTTGCACAACTTGAAGAATGTAATCAATGTCACTGAATTGTACATGTAGAACTGTACAGTTGGTGGGGGGGAAATACTAAATAGGCAATAGATAAGTGGTATCTTGGGTGAAGGGTGAGACAGTACACAATACTGGGGAAACCAGCACAACTTGTACAA